TGGCATTGCTTTAATGATATAATAAATAGGTTCTTTGAACATTCAGGCTGAAAGTGACTCCAGCAGAATATAATCTTAGTTTCGAATAGAGAAATTGAAGCCTAAGCATGCTAAGTGGTTGTCTGAAGTCGCTCCCAGAGTTAATGACACCGTTGAATCCTGATTTACTAGCTGCTAGTTTAGAGCTCTTTTTGCCCTACCATGCTGTAAAGAAGGGAATGCCTATAGCCAGTGTCTATAACCAGCATGGGTTTTCTGACAGAGTAGCCCTGGAATTTGCCTTTCTAATGTTTTCATTCTTAAAGGTTTTTGTAATAAGTGCAGGACTCTGAAATGCTTGCTGTAAATTTATGGAGCAGTTACCACAGCTTACTGCTTAGTCTCAACTCTCAGTGCTTGGATACTGCCACCCCATTTTATAGATGTAAAGATTACAGATTATAAAAGCTAAACACCTTAGTAAGAGTATACTCATGAATAAATGGAGGAGCAGGCTCTGGTTTCAAAGCTTATTTTAGTGATAGTGACTCTAGCCGGGTGGTGGCGCACACCTTTAATCCCAGCACCTAGGCGGCAGAGGCAGGTGGATCTGTGTTAGTTTGAGGCCAGCCTGGTCCACAGAGTAAATTCCAGGACAGCCAGACCTATGTAATGAGACCCTGTCTAAAAAATCCACCACCAACAACAACAAAAAAATAAAACAATCTCAAGACCCTTTCAGAACCAGGCCCATGAGTCTAATTTCCTCCATTTTCTGTCTCACTGCTGAGTTTCAAGTATTATAACTGCCCCTTCCTGCATTCAAAAAATTCATGTAGATGGCTTTGAACATATTTCTTTGCCTTTGTACCTGTGTTCTCTCCTCCCTCTCCCTTTCTTTTTTCACTTTGAGTCTGTTCATGATGCCCAGCTAGCCTTGGACTCTTGGACTCAAGTGATCCTCCTGCTTCCACATTCTAAGTACCTGGGATTTCATGTCTCAGCTTTAGCATTTGTTTCCAGGGTCTTACTGTGGTAGCCCTTGCTAGCTGTGAACTCACTGTGAATCCCAGACTGACCTCAACTTCAATAATCCTCCTGTCTCGCCCTCCGGACTGACAGTACAGGCTTACTACAATGTCTAGCTGCATTTCCATCTTTAGAATGTTTGAGAAGTAAGACAAACCATGGTGTTTTATGACTTTGTTCTGTTGTCTCCTTTAACTGTTTCCAGTGTTGCCTATAGAAGAAAGAAACCTCTACATGCAATTTTGGTGAGATGGGTTGGTCTCCTGAGTGCTAGAAATCTTTAGTTCCTTATTTAAGCGATAAGTCAACCTCCTGAGTAAGGCACTTTCCATAACCCTCCTTTAGAAAGCTGGCACTTCCAAAATGGTTTTTACTGTATTCAAGCTTAGTAAAAATTCAAGCCCCATGGTGATGGTACACACTCTTTAATCCCAGTACTTGAGAGGCGGGGCAGCAGATTGCTTTAGTTCGAGGACAGCCAGGGCTACAAAGAGAAACCCTGTCTTGGAAAACAGAACAGAACAAAAAAGTTCAGTGATTGCATGGAGTGGAAGCAATGTGAACCTAGGTGAAGCTAGGTCTGGAGGCACACGTCTATAATCCAGGCAGGAAGAGTGCCACCAAGTTTAAAGACAGCCTGGGCTACTTTATGAGTTCAAGGCTAGTATGAGCTACAAAGTGAGACCATGTCTTGTGTGTGTGTGTGTGTGCGAGAGAGAGAGAGAGAGAGAGAGAGAGAGAGTTTGATCCCCAGAAACTATGTTGAAAAGCCAGATGTGTATCTATAATCCCACCATTACTATAGCAAAATGAGAAGCAAAGACAGTAGAATCACCCCCAAAGCTCATGGGCCAAGCTAACTGGAGGAGTACATAGTCCAGCAGATGCAAGAGAGACCCTGCCTCCCCAGTAATGTGTAATGGAAACCAACTCTTCAAACATTGTTCTGCCCCTCATGCGTGTGCTTAATGCCACTGTTGCATCTGCTTGTGCATGTTCTCTCTCTCTCTCTCTCTCTCTCTCTCTCTCTCTCTCTCTCTCTCATACACACATACAATCAACCAATCTGGGGGAGAGGGGCTGGGGCAAACTGAAAAAAGAAATGAAAACTGCTAAAGTTAGTTCATTAAAATTTTTTTAATTTTTAATTAAATTCTGGGGCTACAGAGATGGCTCAGTGGTTAAGAGCACTGATTACTCTTCCACAGGACCCAAGTTCAATTCCCAGCACCCTCATGGCAGTTCACAACTGTCTGTAACTACTTCCAGGGGATTCAACACCCTCACATAGACATACATGTAGATAAAACACTAATGCATATAAAATAAAAATAAATAATTTTTTGAAAGTTAAACTTTCTAGCTGGGCAGTGACGGTATACACCTTTAATCCCAGCACTTGGAAGGCAGAGTCAAACAGATCTCTTAGTTGGAGGCCAGCCTGGTCTTTAAAGCAAGTTCCAGGCTAGCCTAGGCTACCAAAGAAACCTTATCTCAAAAAACTAAGGGGAAAAAAAGGGGTTGTTTTTACTTTATGTGTATGAATGTTTTGCCTGCATGCATGTTGTGCACCACTTTTATGACTGTTAGACTGCCTGAACTGGGAGTTAGTGTTGGTTTGGTGTTTGGGTGACTGTCCAACAGATGGTTGCGAACCACCAACTGCTGGGAATCAAACCTGGGTCCTCTACATGAACAAGTGCTCTTAACCACTGAACCATCTCACCAGCCTCTTCTTTATTTTTTGAGACAGGGGCTCTCACTGAACCCAGGGGCTCACTGATTAGACTATACTGGCTAATCCAGCTAGCCTATTCTCTGCCATCCCAGTGGTAGGGATTACAAACATGTGCAATACACTGGGCTTTTGATGTGTCTGCTTGGGATTGAGCAAGTGCTTCTCAGACTCAGGCACATCCCCAGCCCTAGGAGAATCATTTTAACTTGAGACACAGTTGTCGTCCTGCTACACTCCAACTTCCCCCTCAGAATTATTCATGTTTCAAATAAATGCAGGTATGTTTCTAGCTGTGTGGGGAGCAGGTACATGGGTGTGGTGTGCACAGGATGAGTGAGTGTGAAGGACAACCTCAGGTGGTGTTCTCAAGAATGTCGTCACTTCCTTTGAGGTGGTCTGTAAGTGTGGGTAAGTAAGTCCACAAGAGCCCGAAATAAAGGGATCTTTGGTGTGTTTCGGCATCTTAGAAAGCCTTTAGCTGTATCATTTGTGCTTTTCAGGGAAAAAGAAATCAGATTCACATAGGGACGCCATAGCAGATTAGTGGTTCAGCAACTGCAAACTGAACTGTTGCTTGATTTTAGAATTCTAAGAATTCTGACTTCATCAGAATCACTTAAAATAATAATAATAATTTTGGCCAGGCAGTAGTGGCACATACCTTTTTTTTTTTTTAATTAAACGTTTTCATTTATTTTATGTCGGGACCACAGCTTCCCCTTCCCTTTCTCCTCCCGTTGCTTCCTCCCTCCCCTTCCCCCATCCACTCCTCCTCCACCTCTGCCCAGAAAGGTGCAATCCTTCCATGGGTGTCAGCAAAGCATGGCATATCGAGTTGAGGTAGGATTAAACTCCTCCCTTTGTATTTAAGGCTGGGCAAGGCAACCCATTTTGGGAATAGGGTTCCAAAAGCCAGCTCAAGTACCAGGGACTGGACTGGTCCCATGCAGGCTCCCTAACTGTTGGTCCAGAGTCTGTGAGCTCCTATGAGCCCAGGAGTTGGCACACACCTTTAATCCCAGCACTTGGGAGGTAGAGGCAGACAGATGTTCGAGGCTAGCTAGCTCTACAGAGTGAGTCCAAGATAGCCAAGGCTGCACAGAGAAACCCTGTCTTTTTTTTTTTTTTTTTTGCTTTTTCGAGACAGGGTTTCTCTGTGGCTTTGGAGCCTACCCTGGAACTAGCTTTGTAGACCAGGCTGGTCTCGAACTCACAGAGATCCGCCTGCCTCTGCCTCCCGAGTGCTGGGATTAAAGGCGTGCGCCACCATCGCCCGGCGAGAAACCCTGTCTTGAAACAAACAGAATAATAATTTTGAGACAGGGTTTCTCCATGTAGCTCTGGCTGTCCCCTAACTAGCTAAGTAGACCAGAGTGGCCTTGAACCCAGAGAGATCAGCATGCCTCTACCTCCTGAGTGCTGGGATCCCGTTGGGCAAGAATCACCTTTTCCGAATATATTACTGTATGTATTCCAGAGGCTTCACACAGTTGCCATTTAGTGTCGAATTACTTGGGGATTTGATAACATTGCAGTCTCAGCCTTCTTGGGTTTCAGGATTATCAGAAGTAGAGAAGAGAGAGGCATATTGAATAAGTACAGTCCAACTAATTGTATTTGTTCTGGGCTTTATATTACATTTATAATATCTGTGAAGGAAAGATTTGGGATTAGGATTAACATTTTTAACACATTCCCACTATTGAAAGTCTGTAGAGCTTTTAAGTTACCATTTTGTGTAAATGCCGGTGTGGAGGTCAGAGGACAGCTTTGTGGAGTTGGGTCTCTCTCCTTCTACCTTTATGTGGGCTCAAGGGATTGAAGTTGTCAAGTTTGGGTGGTGAACTCTACCTGCAGAACCACCTTGCTGGTGCCTTTATTTCTCTTACTTCCCTGCAGTTGGTAGTTTTTGTTTTGTTTTTAAAGTAGGCTAAACAGACTTCTGATTTGAAATCCAAGTTAGCTGCCATTGTTCTGAGTTGCTGAGGTTTGTGATATGCTTATTGAATTTCTTTTATTCTGTGTTAAAAGATAAGTAAATAAGCTGGGTGGTGGCACATGCCTTTAATCTTAGCAGAGGCAGGTGGATCTCTGTGAGTTTGAGGCCAGCCTGGTCTACAGAGTTACTGCCAAGACAAGCTCCAAAGCTACAGAGAAGATAGGGCTTCTATCTTGAAAAACCCCAAAAAAGAAAAAAAAAAGATAAGTAAATAAGAGAGCTCAATTTCTAATAAAACTTACTTTTCTTAACCAGCACCTGTGGAGTCGTCTCAAGAACAGTCATCATTGTGTGAAGGTAATTTTTTTTAATGTCTAACCAAGAAAACATTAAGTTGTCTGTGATGTTTAAAATTAGATACTGTGGGGGGAGGGGGAGGGAAATGGGAGGTGGGGAGGAGGTGGAAATTTTTAATAATAAAAAAATTTTTTAAATTAGATACTGTTTTATGAATATATATTGTGTCTCAATTTTTTTTCTAGGTTCAAATTCAGCTGTTAGCATGGACCTTTCAGAAACTGTTGGTAAGCCTTTCTGACCTTATTAAGACAGTATGGGAACTCCAGATTTAAGGTGTGCATGGTCTGATGACTGAACTGTCTTAGCTCCAGCCACACTTCATGTTTTGCTATTAAAATTTTAACACAGCCTGGACTATTAGTGAATGCACATGGAATCGAGAAGAAGAGTGCTATTCCTTTGACTTTCGTTTCTTGAGACTAATCTTTGTAGCTTTGATCTCTTTATTTATCCTGCTGCCTCTGCTGTAAGAGTGCTGGGATTCCAGGCATATGCCATCACTAGTCAAACATTTCATCAAATTCCCGTCCATTCTTGTTTTTTTTATTGATTTTTATTGAGCTCTACATTTTTCTCTGCTCCCCTCCCCCTGCCTCTCCCCTCCTCTTCAGTCCTTTCCCAAGGTCCCCATGCTCCCAGTTTACTCAGGGATCTTGTCTTTTTCTACTTCCCCCGTTGTTTTTTTTTTTTTTAAAGATCTATTTACTATGTATACAAGAGTTCTGCCTGCATGTATTATTTCCTGCAGGCCAAAAGAGGGCATCAGATCTCATTACAGATGGTTGTGAGCCACCATGTGGGTACTGGGAATTGAACTCAAGACCTCTGGAAGAGCAGCCAGTGCTCTTAACCTCTGAGCCATCTCTCCAACCCCCCATCCTTTTTTAAAATAACTCCATTAGCCTTAAAAGTTTCCTATTTCCAAAGTGACTATTAAAGTTAATGCCGAAAGTTACTATTTACATTGAAAATTTACCTCCTAAATTCTTTCACACTCTTTATTCTGGTTTCTATACTTTCCTTCCCCCCCCCCCCCCCCAATCAGGGCATCTTGATACTGGAATAAGTGGGGTTGGGCTTTTTTGTTAACTTGTAGTCTGTCCTTAGGAAATGACACCATGCTAGTATAGCTGTGTGTTATGGTATAGGCTCCAGCTCTCTGCTGTCAGGAATGAGGCCAGCTTGAAAATCCACCCATCTCTGTCTGTGTCATGGGTGTCAGGAGAGGGGCCTAAGCAACTTATATTTGCCACTTTAAAGACTGTTTAAAATGCGGGCAGGTATTGTTCAAGATATTGAGTTAAAATACTTTTCTTCAGTAGAAAATGGAGAGACAGAAATGTCCGCAGAAGAATCATGGGAGCACAAAGAAGAAATAATTGAAGCAGAGCCAGGGGGTGGCTCCTCAGGAGATGGAAGGCCACCAGAGGAAAGTGCCCAAGAAATGATGGAGGAGGAAGAAGAAATACCAAAACCTAAGTCGGTGGTGGCACCACCAGGTGCTCCTAAGAAAGAACATGTAAACGTAGTGTTCATTGGGCATGTTGGTAAGTTTCCTTCATAGAGCTCATAAACACTGACGGGCGTTATTGGAAAGAGACAGCGTGTGGAACATCTTTTGTTTAGCTACTTGGAGATGTTGAGTGAAACTGGGTCAAAATATTGAAATACCTAAAGTGTTCTGTATCCATGCACACACTGAGAGTTGACTGCAGGGTCACATGTAAAGTGCTTTCTTCGTTTGTTTGTAGGCTATGTTTCTCTGTGTAGCCCTGATCTGGAACTTGTTCTTTAGACCAGGCTGGCTTCAAACTCAGAGATCCACCTTCTTTTTCTGCCTCCCGAGTGCTGGGATTAAAGACATGTTTTTTAACTTGCTTCAACTGACAAAAAAAAAAAAAATGCCAGTGTTTTGTTCTTGAACTTTGGGCAGATGAATTGTTTTGTAGTGCCATAGAAGCTGGAGGAAAATGAGCTTCATTGTGTGTGATGGATAATTAGTCTGCAGACCATTGGTGATGGTTTGCTATACTGTGATACTTAATTAGTATCCAAGAAATGTGCATGTTTTGTTCTCTTTAGTTGAAATGTTCCTTTTAATGGGATTAACATTGTTACTACTCATCTTAATTTTGTATGAAATAAAAAATTAGTAATTTAGAGTAACTTCTGGGTATTTGCCAAGTAACTGGGTTAGCTAAACAAGACCTTGCTTAATTATATGATTTCTGACTTTTCAGATTGTGGGAAAAAATAGTGAATTCTGTGTTATCCCTCCACCTTGAGACAGGGCCTCACTATGTAGTAATCCAGACTGGCCTCCAGCCCTTGTTCTTCCTGCCTCAGCCTCCTGATTTCTAGGATTGCAGATGGATCCCACCATGCTTGACCTGTCTCTCTTTTGCTATATTATACTCCCTTTAGAGAAGAATAACTTTGAAATTTGTAGAGAAATGCTTATCCTGTTTCCTAAAGTCAGGGATGCCTTTAATCCCAACATTCAGTAGGCAGAGGCAGGCTGATCTCTGAGTTTGAGGCCAGCTTGGTCTACAGATAGTTCCCGGACAGCTAGAGCTACACAGAGAATCCTTGTCATAGATAGATAGGTAGGTAGGTAGGTAGGTAGGTAGGTAGGTAGGTAGGTAGATAATTTCTTCATCAGGGAAGTATTTCTCAGTCCTTATTGCCCTATGAAGATCTTAGCCTCATTCATTGTACATGGGAGAAGGTCCTTAGAATTTAATCCTGAAATTCCTATTACAGTTCAGTTGTTTTTGCAAGACTTGATTATACATGCAAAAAAATCCCTCCAGTTATATTTGTGTATATATCAGTTGTTTTTAACCTATGTTCCCATATTTTTGTTCTTCCTTTTAGATGCAGGCAAGTCAACCATTGGAGGACAAATAATGTAAGTCTCTTTTATTTAATGGTAGAGTTAATCTGATTGGATAAATTTCAGGCATTGTAAGTGTTCATGTTGCCATTCAAGGGAGATAAAAACTGGTCACCACCTCAAGTTAGAAACTTTAATAATAAATTATCTGTACAGAAGGTAGCAGTTAAGTAATTTTTGTTTTAGTGTGATCATCAGTTTTTAATCTCTGTCAAACTCTTATGATGCACTGTTTCTAAAACCCATCTTTAAGAAACAAAACATGTTATATGTGTGTGCTTGTGTGTGCATGGTGGTGGTGATTTTTGTACTTGAATAGCTGGGATTAAAGTTGTGAAACACTCCTACCTGATTACTATGACTTTTTAAATAATTTTTATGTGCATTGGTGTTTTTACCTGCGTGTATGTCTGTGTAAGGGCGTTAGATTCCCTGGAACTGTAGTTACAACGATGTTGTGAGCTGCCATGTGGGTGCTGGGAATTAAACCCAGGTCATCTGGAAGAGCAGCTAGTGCTCTTAACCTCCAGGTCTTGTCTCCAATTCTACAAGACCCCCCCCCCCCCTTTTTTTTCTCTATTTTTTTGCAAGGCATGTTGTTGCATACCTTTAATTACAGCATTTTGGGGGCAGGTGGATCTCTGAGTTCAAAGCCAGACTTGTCTATATATAACATTCTTGGCTAGCCAGAGTGACATAATGAGACCTCATCTGGAAAGCAACAACAAATTTTTGAAGGTGTTGTTTTTGTGTGTATATGCATATATGCATGTGCAACTATGCATGCAGGTAGCTAGGGAGGCCAGAAGAGGTTGCTGAATCCCTTTGGGATAAAATTACAGGTGGTTTTGAGTTGTCTAATGTGGATGCTGGGAGTAGAACTGCGTCCTCTGCAAGAGTAGCAACTGCTTTTAACTGCTGAGCCATTTCTCCAGGCCTTATTAAAATTTTATGAAAAATAATATAGTACCCAAGATTACAGAAAGTCTTAATTGGCTTTGAATATACAGATAGTCCCTGGCATTAATGAGAAACCATACTTTGAACTTTGATCTTTTCCTGGGTGGTCTGCTCCTCCTCTGTGTTGTGGACAGTGACTGTGATAGCTCCCAGTCACTGATCACCAAGCTAAACAACTCTCTACAGTGTACTCCTGACAGTGTCAGCTGAAGTGTGTGTGTCCTTTATGTCTGAACATGAGACATTCGGCACATTAATTTTTTTTTAAAGATTTATTTATTAAGTATACAACATTCTGCCTCCATGTATGCCCACACATCAGAAGAGGGCGCCAGATCTCATTACAGATGGTTGCTGGGAATTGAACTCAGGACCTCTGGAAGAGCAGTCAGTGCTCTTAACCACTGAGCCATCTCTCCAGCCCTCAGCACATTAATATTAAGTGGACCTTGTGTCACTTGATTTTGCCCAACAGTGAGCTAATATAAGTGTACTGAGTCTGTTTAAGGGAAGTTAAGCTAAGCAATAATGTTAGGTAGTTTAGGTGTTTTATTTAGCTTTTATTTTTGAGGAAACAGGGTAGCCTTAAACTCAAGTATGTAGTCTAGAATGACCCAGAATTCCTGATCCTTCCACTCTACCTCTGAAATGCCCCAATAAAATTATTTTGGTTTTGGAGGGGAGGGTCTCACTGTGTAGCCCTGGCTGGCCTTGAACTTATCCTCCTGCCTCTGCCTCCAAAATGTAGGGATTAAGCACCACCGTGCCTGGCTATAAGGCATTTTTGACTGGTGATGGAATAAGAGAGAACCATGGCAAGTTAAAGTATATTAATGAAAGCTAACTTTCTCTTTCGTTGAATATGTTTTTTATTTTATATGTATTAGTGTTTATGTAATATTTATGTGCACCATGTACATGCCTCATGTCCACAGAGGCCAGAAGAAGGAGTCATATCAGCTGGGTGATGGTGGTGCACGTCTGGTCTACAGAGTGTGTTGCAGGACAGCCAGGGCTGTTATAGAGAGAAACCCTGCCCTGAAAAACAAAAAAAAAGAAGTCATCACCTGGAACTAGTTACAGATGGTTGTGAGCCGCTGTGTGGGTGCCTGGAAACGAACCTGGGTCCTCTGCCAGAACAACAAGCATTCTTAACCACTCAGCCATCTCTGGTCCCTGGCTTCCTGTTTTCATTTGCCCCTCGTGTTGGTGTTGCTACCCAGGGTCTGTGAGCACTGAACAAGAGCTCTGCCGTTGAGCTACATTCCCAAACCAAAAGTTTGCTTTTGACTCACGAATGGACTGGTTTTTTGCTCCTGAAATTTATGTGAATTGAATCAAAGGCAAGTAGTCTGGCCATCATTCCACAACTTTTCTTTTTCTTTTTTTTTTAATCAAATAGGGGAGGAGGTGGTGTGAGAGTGTGTGGAATCAAAGCCCCATCCCTCTCATTCCAATATTACCTACATAATCACCTACAGTATGATATTCTTAACAATCTGAATGTAAAAAACAAGTGAAAAGGCCACTTTAACTATAGCCTATGCATGTGTGTTGGTCTACATATGTGTTTGCATACATGCAAAGATCCAAGATTGGTGTTAGCTTATTCATTGAGCCAGGATCTCAGTCACACTTAGGGTTCTCTGATTTGGCTAATCTCTGGGATTCTGTCACTGTGCAGCTGAACTAACAGAAAGGGCAGACCCGCCTCCCTCACTTGAACTCCAAGTCTCAGGTTTTGTGTGACCAGTGCTATCACTAGTGAGTCATCACTCCATCCCCAATTTTTACCATTTTATACAAGCTACCTACTTGAAAAGATACTGACCTCTGTTAATGTGTTCTGCTATTAACAACTTTTTAAATGTGTGTGTGTGTTGGGGAAGCACATACATGGCATGCTGTTTATGTAGGACAAAAGAATTTCTCATTCTTCACCTCACTTCTTGTTTGTTGGTTGTTGTCTATGTTAGACTAGCTGTCCTTCTACCTTCCCCCCCCCCCCCCCCCCCCCCGTTTCATGCTCCCTATAAAGGAACAAGGATTACAGACATGTGTGCTGCTGTGTCTGGGTTCTAGGGATCTGAACTAAGGTTGTTAAGATTTATGCAGGGTTTGGATTTTTTTGTTGTTCTTGTTGTTTGGGTTTTGTTTGTTTGTTTTTGTGTTTTTGTTTTTGACACAGGGTTTCTCTGTGTATTTGGAGCCTGTTCTGGAACTTATTCTGTAGCCCAGGCTGGCCTCCAACTCACAGAGATCCACCTGCCTCTGCCTCCTGAGTGCTGGGATTAAAGGCGTGCGCCACTGCCCAGCAACAGTATGTTTTTACTGATGGATTGTAGAGTAGCCTTTTCACTGTTTTCTGGTTTCGTTTTGTTTTTTATATCCAGATTGTGAAGAACATCATACTGTAGAGGATTATGTAGGTAATATTTGGGATGAGAGGGATGGGGCTTGGATTTGACCTGAATGAAAGCTAGCTGGCATTACTAGTGAATGAACGGTTCAGACAGCAGTCTCACATTGACAAAAGCTATTTTAAAATGATCTCACTTTGGAAAGTCATTTGACAGAATGCCATTGCCTACACCTGCACATTAGAATTTTATATATATTTATATATATATTATACTAAAGGGTATACATAATGATCTTTAGTATTACTAAAGAATCTTTAACATGAAAATTTTTTGTCTTACATGTTGACACTCATGTGGGTATATGTGTGTTGGTATTTCAGAAAGATAGCAGAAACAATATAGAGTTCCTATAGTCCCTTTATTCACTTTAATCTAATATGAAAATCATCCTTAAACTGTGGCACAGTAATCAAAACTGGAAAACTTGGGCTGGGGATATAAATCAGTGTTGCGAGCACTGACTCACCAACCATGCGTAGTCCTGGGTTGAGTCCTCAGCATGGTTTACAAAAAGAAAAAAAAAATGCAATGGTGGCACGCACCTTTAATCCCTACACTCGGAGGCAGGCAGGTCTCTGAGTTCATTAACATCTTGGTCTACAGACTGAGTGAGTTTCCATGACAGCCAGGAACCACACAGAGAAACCCTGTCTTGGAAGGGGGGAAAAAAGCAATTCAGAGGCGAAAAACTTCAACTTCGTTGGTGGTGGTTTATTGTTTGGTTGGTGTGCATGGCTGCCTGCAAGGTGCAACTTTGCAGTGTCACTCTTAATTAACATCAGTAGGACGTTTGATGCTCTTAAAAATTAAACAACAGGGCCGGGCGGTGGTGGCGCACGCCTTTAATCCCAGCACTCGGAAGGCAGAGGCAGGCAGATCTCTGTGAGTTCGAGGCCAGCCTGGTCTACAAGAGCCAGTTCCAGGACAGGAACCAAAAGCTATGGAGAAACCCTGTCTCGAAAATCAAAAAAAAAAACAAAACAAAACAAAACAAAAAGATTAAACAACAGATCATGGAGCCTGGAGAGATGACTCAGGTTTAGAGCACAGGCTGCTTTTCCAGAGGTTCTGAGTTCAATTCCCAGCAACCACGTGGTGGCGTGCAATCATCTAAAAGGAGATATGGTGCCTTCTTCTGGTCTAGCCTGCAGATACACATGTGGACAGAACACAGTAATATGTATGTGTATGTATACACACACATAATAAATAAAACTTTAAAAAAAGAGATAAAAATTAAATAGATCTTAATAGGATTTCACCATATTTTCCGTGGTTATTTTTTATGTTCTTAAATTATATATGATAGGGCATTATTATATCTCCATAGCCCTTAATTAGTAACATTTCCAGTTTCCTTGCTTTATGGCCTTGGTAACCTTTAAAAACAATTAAATTGTTTGTATTTGTGTGCATATATTTGTGTACCTAGATGTATTGTGCATATGCATGTATCTGAGCAGGCTAGAAGAGGGTATTAGATCTCCTGGAATTATAATTACAGGCAGATGTGGGCTACCATGTGTGTGCTGGGAACCAAACCTGGGTCCTCTGCAAGAACAGCAATTGCTCTTAACCACTGAACCATCTCTCCAGGCCCTCTTCCCTTTTTAAAAATGTATGTGTATGGGTGTGTCCCCAGGATACCAGAAAAGACTGTTGGCTCCGCTGGAGTTGGAGATACAGGTGATTGTGAGCTGACTGGTGTGAATGCTGAGCACTGAACTCAGGTCCTCCTGAAGAAAAGAGCCACCTCTGGCCCTTGGCCTTAGTAATTTAAAGAATATGAACTGGTTATTTCATATAGTATTCTGTAGTTCAGTCAGGACTGATACTTTCTTGTATTAAGAATATCACAGAAGACAGCTAGCTATATTTTGTACTGTAGGGATCATGATGTTAACTCTTTACTTACGCAATATATTTCACAAAGTATTGATATAAGCTGAGAGTACCTTGGTAGGGTGTTGACCGTCAATGTTTTTACCATGAAGTACTTTTGTTTTCATCTAATAATTTGAAATGATACAGATACCGTTTTATATTTAAATTAGCTCTAAGTAAATGGTACATTTACTTTAAAAGAGTTGGAGTTTTTTGCTAGTGAGATGACTCAGTGGGCAAAGCTCACCAAATCTGGACTCATTCCCTGGAACCCACATGGCGGAAGAGGAAGACTGACTGCTGCTAACTGTCCTGGTTCCACATAAATAAGTGAATGTAGTTTCTTTTTTTAAATAGCAGTTTTTCTGTAGCTCAGGTTCCCTCCAGGCGCTTCAGTAGTGTCCTCACTGTGCTGAGTAACTAAAGTGTGTACTTCTTTGTCTTTAACCCTTTACAGGTATTTGACTGGAATGGTTGACAAAAGGACACTTGAGAAATACGAACGAGAAGCTAAAGAAAAAAACAGAGAAACTTGGTATAGTAAACTTTTATGATACTAGAAACTCGGGGATCACCTGCCTGTTTCCCAAGTGCTTGGATTGAAGGGGTGTGCGAGCATGCCTGGCAAATGGGAAAAGTCCTAATTAGTATTAGACTCAAAAAGATTACAAGCTATTACTATGCATGTTTGAAATAATTTATGTAGAATTATATAATTCTTACATAATGAAATAATACCAGAATTTTTCTTCATTTCTTTTTTTTGTTATTTTGAGACAAAATTTCTCTGTGTAGCTCTGGCTGTCCTGGAACTCACTCTACACCAGACTAGCATCAAACTCAAAACTCCCAAATGCTGAAATTAGAGGTGTGCACCACAACCGGTGCATGTCAGTAGAAGGAAGAATTATTTGGGCTTATAGTTCCAGAGGAATTAGAATCCATCATGGCTGGGAGGCATGGCAGCAGGCAGTCATGATGGCTGGAGCAAGCAAGCAAGCTGAGAGCAAACCTGAAGTGCAAGCCTGCCTTCAGTGACTTACCTCTTCCGACAAGACCACACCTTCTAGAACTCCCTAAACCTTACTGGCCAGATAGCCCATGCCCAAGACTTTGGGGATATTTCATTCAAACCACAGCATTAATATTATGACTCGTCTTTGTTTTTTCTTTTCTCTGTCACCTCTTCTTTCTTAGAGGATTTTTGATATGTAGCTCAGGATAGTCTCAAATATTCACTGTGCTCCTGCCTCTCTCTTCCTGACACTAGAATTACAGATGTGCAATATCACACCCAGCATTTAAGTAATCTTGCTCCCTATGTTGTCAGTTTAGTGTTATGAATGTTTGCTTATAGACTTGCTGACTATGTATAAGCTCTGTTTGAATCATAACAATACATATTTAATTTTCCTGTTTTTATTTTACTAGTCTTCCTTATGACACAGATGAGTAGTGGATATGAAATGGGTGTCACATTTTATTACATGCTTATTAGTAGAAGAACATAATGATAATCATGATTTTTTTTTTCATGATTTTTTTTTTTTTTTTTAATTCTTCCAGGTACTTGTCTTGGGCCTTAGACACAAACCAGGAAGAACGAGACAAGGGGAAAACAGTAGAAGTAGGCCGTGCCTATTTTGAAACTGAAAAGAAGCATTTTACAATTCTAGATGCTCCTGGCCATAAGAGTTTTGTCCCAAATATGATTGGTGGTGCCTCTCAAGCTGATTTGGCTGTACTGGTAAGAAAGACATTTCCATTCTGGACTTTTTTTGAGGGTAGGCTCTGGGCATATTTATTAGTAAATAGCCCGCGTGTATCTTCTCTTTTCCCATTGATAAGGCTTGAACCCATGGTGTTTGCATATTGCTGTACAAGTACTCTACCACTGATTTGTGATACAGGGTCTTACCATGTAACTCTTAACTGGCCTGGAATTCAATATGTAGGCCAGGTGGGCCTCAAACTCAGAGATGTACTTGCCTCTGATTTATGGTGTGCTCCACAACCCGACTTCAATGTTCTGATCTACCCTCATAAAGTTGTAGTCATTATAACACTATACATAATTGTAATAGTCATTTTTGTCACTCCTGTTTTCCCAGAACACATTATAATAATTTACTTGAAAAAAAAAATACTCCATAAAGGCCGGGCGGTGATGGCATACACCTTTGGTCCCAGCACTCAGGAAGCAGAGGCAAGTGAATTTCTGTGAGTTTGAGGACAGCTTGGTTTAGAAGAGCTAGTTCCAGGACAGGCTCCAAAGCTACAGAGAAACCTTGTTTCAGGGAATGGGGGAGATTAAATATTTTCTCATTGCTATTATCTGTGTGTTTAAATTTAGTGGTTTTTTTTTTTTTATGCTAAGCCCACAAAGATTAAAATTAATGTTGTTTCTCCTTTCCCCTTCCTTCTTGCTAGGTAGTACATACTGTCCTCAAACTTACTATCCTCTCATCTCAGACTCTTAAATGCTAGGATTACAAGTATGCATCAGCATATACTCATTTTGGTTGTAGTATTAAGAAATTAAACCCCGTGGGGCCTACAGAGATGGCTCAGTGACTAAGAGGACATACTGTTGTTGCAGAGAAGCTGAGGTGATTTTCAGCATCCATATCGAGTGGCTCACAATTGCCTGTAACTCAAGCTCCAAGAGTATCTGATGCTTCTGGCCTTAGCACGCACCTACACACACACACACACACACACAGAGAGAGAGATTGAGATTGAACTTGGAGCCCTGAACTTGCTAAACACATATTTTCTCACATCTTTAACCTAAAAAGAACATACTTGAACTGTTTGAGTTATATGCACATATCCTAGATTTAGGGAAGTTGAAGGGGTTAGTAAAAACCACTATGTTTGTTTTGTTACTTGCCATAGCACATGGAAATAGCTATTCCAATGAGCCATACCTGCTCAACTCCAAACTCTTAAGTCTTGAAGCCATTTGGACACATGCCCCATTTACTTGGAAAGCTTTCTTTTCGTGATTTCAGGTTTTTTGTTTTGTTTTTCGAAACAGGGTTTCTCTGTTTAACAGCTCTAGTTGTCCTGGAACTCACAATACGGACTAGGCTGTCCTTGAATTCACAAGAGATCCACCTGCCTCTCCCTCTCAAGTGCTGGGATTGAAGACATCCACCGCCACCTAGCTGGAAGGCGTTCTTATAGAAGCTAAAAGTATACATGTTTTGCTGCTAGATTTGATGTGGGAGGAACCTGAATGTTTAAGAATAAATTACTGAATTTCTTGGAATAGGTAATCTCAGCCAGGAAAGGAGAGTTTGAAACTGGATTTGAAAAAGGAGGACAGACAAGAGAACATGCAATGTTGGCAAAGACAGCAGGTGTCAAACACTTAATTGTGCTTATTAATAAGATGGATGATCCAACAGTAAACTGGAGCAACGAGAGGTAAGCTTACATGCTTTAGTGACTTTTTACAGACATGTTGGTGAAGAAATGGATGTTTTTGTTATTGTTTGCATTGTTTCTTCCGGTTTTTCTAAGCTTTAATTTGTTTACTGATGAAACTACTACTCAGCATAATTGTGTTATTTCTAAATATTCTTAGATATGAAGAATGTAAAGAAAAACTAGTACCGTTTTTGAAAAAAGTTGGCTTCAATCCCAAGAAGGACATTCATTTTATGCCCTGCTCAGGACTGACGGGAGCAAATCTGAAAGAGCAATCAGATTTCTGTCCTTGGTACATGTGAGTAACCTTTTACTACTTTTTCTAAAAGGAGATGGGCATATCTAAAAGAAATTGAAATATATTTTGGCTGTAGTCTTGGTTTTAAAAAATAGCAGGACCTTTGCCTTTTAAAACATTTATATGGTTTTTTTTTATGTGTGTGTCTGTTGTATGCTTATGTGGGTAATGTGCAGGTTCGTGTGTGTGGTGTATGCTATATGTGTAATATGAAGATGTTCTTTGCCCATGTTTACATGTGGACAGGCCAGAGGTTGAAACCAGGTGTTTTAAGAGTTTTTCATCGAACCTGAAATTACCTGATTTGGTTCGGGCCCTGGGACCAGCCTGTCTCCTCCCCAGTGCTGGATTACAGACGCATGCCACCACTTGGCTGTTCCATTGGTCCTGGTGTTTGCATAGCAGGCAGTCTACCCACTGAGCCGTCTCCCTGGCCCTATTTATTTTGTTGTTGTTGTTGTTGTTGTTGTTTTGGGATTTTTTGAGTCATGTGAGTTCTTTTTTATTATTATTTGTTTGTTTGTTTTTTGAGACAGAGTTTCTCTGTGTAGCCCTAGCTATCCTGGAACTCACTTTAGACCAGTCCCATCTTTTAACTCCTAGAGAGATCTTCCTGCCTCTGCCTTCTGAGTGCTGGGATTAAAGACGTGGGCCACCACTGCCAGGCTTTTGTATGAGTTCTTTATGGGGTCTTTGGCCTATAACTTAAGCCAATAGGTTTCTTGCCTTATAAGCATGAGGACCCTGAGTTCAATTTCCCAGTGCCAATCACTCAAACACAGAAAACCCCAACAGGTTTCTTATGTACAAGTCCCTTACTAGGTAATTAATCAACATGTACTTTTCCCATTCCATATTAAGGTCATTCTTGCCTTCCCCTTCTTTCATCCCTAGTTGTTTGTGTTGGGTAGAATCCAGAGGCCTGCCCCACTGAGCATGTTCTGCATCACTGAGCTGTCCTCGGCCCTCCATTGCTGTTTTTACTGTGGGAGTGTAGGTGCACCTGTGCTACGGTCGCTAGGTGGAGGGCAGAAGACAGCTGTTAAGGTTGCTCCTCACCCTCTTTTCTGCTCTTCACCCTACTCCTGCTGGCCCATGATCTTCCATGTGACTCCTGTCTCTGCTTCCCATCTTCTAGCAGTCCTAGAATTACAGATGTGAGTCACCAAATCTGTTTTGTAAAACATAGCTAGTGAAATGGCACAGCAGCCCATTATGGTGCCTGCTGCCAAGACTGGTGACGTGGTTCACTCCCTGAAACCCACGTGATAGGAAGAGAGAGCAAACGTCTGCAAATCCTCTGAAACATCAACTGGTCCCAGGTTACAGAGATTTAGCTTTATAGAAGGGGGTGAGACCAGTTTAGTTTCTAGGTAACGAAGTCTTAAGATTTTAGGTTTTCAGGGCTGGAGATGGCTCACCAGTTAAGAGCACTCGAAATTGATTCCTAGCACCTACATGATTGCTTGTACTTCAATTCCAGGGTCTCTGACGCTTTCTTCTCACCTCCTGATAGTAGGCATGCACACATAGACAAAGGAATACACATAAGAAAAAATAAATCTAAATTTAAAAGAAACTTTTTTCCTTTTATATTTAGTTTTCAGTTCTTTTTTTTTTTGCATAAGGTTTATGGTATTTAGCTAGGTATATTTGCTTTGGTGTGGGCATTCCATTATTCTGGTATAATTTCTGTGTTGTATTATCATCTTCGTTAGAAATCAGGTGGCCATAAATGGTGTTTGCTTGTTTGTTTTTCCCTCAGTTCTGTTGTGTTCAACTGTTTATCTTAAGACTGCACAGTCTTGCTTGTATAACTTTGAAATTGGCCAGAAAAACTTTGGTTTTCTTTCTTTTTTTGGCTATTGTGAATCTCTTCCACACAAATCGTTCAAATCAGTTTATAATTACTGCAAAACAAGCAGCCTTTCTAGGCAGTGTTGCCTTATGGAATCCTGATCTGATAAGGATTAAACTTCACAGTCCATAAATTAGGAAATAGAGAGTTGGGCGTTGTGGTGCATGCCTATAATGCCAGCACTTGAGAACTGTGGCAAGAGGATTGATTGAGTTTGAGGCAAGTCTGGAAGATATAGCAAAGTCCTGTTTCCTCATCCTTGTGTAGGTAAGAGTATATAATGCAGGCTGTCACAAGTCACTTTTTCCTAGACTTAGCATAAATTCATGGGGAAGCTAGGCCAGCATGGCTCAGCAGGTTAAGGTGCTGGCCACCAAGCCTGATGACTTGAGGTCTTTCTCAGGAGCTCAGATCACTAAAGGCGAGAACTGACGACTACAAACTGTCCTCTGACTTCTGTGTGCTCATACTCACACATAAACAAACACAGTAAGTCAGTTAATAAACATCCAGCGTGTTTGTAGTTTTTTATTTTGTTGTGTTCTGTTTTGAGACAAGAATCTCACTATGTAGACTCATTTAGTCTGGAACTTAATAACCTCTTGTCTGAACCTCCCAAGTGTTGGGATTATAGGGTTGTATCACCATATCTGACCTAGGGAGCTTTTAAAAGTAAGGTATTTTGTTTTATTTTAGTTTTCTGAGGTGTTGAGTTTCATGAAATGAAAATATATAAATGAAAAAAAAATGTGCATTAGAAAAATAAAATGTTATAGATAACCATTTATTATTTAAATTACAACACTATAACTTAGATTTTTAAAAATTATTATGTTAACTTTTTTAATAAATATTGTTCTATTCTCAGTGGCTTACCATTTATTCCATATCTGGATAATTTGCCAAACTTCAATAGATCAGTTGATGGACCAATCAGGCTGCCAATTGTCGATAAGTACAAGGTACCTCAAATATTAAAGTTACTGGATTTCAGGGGAGTTGAAATCGTGTTTTGTTGTAAGTTAGAAAAAAAATATCTTAATAATGTTTATTAGCTTTTAAGTGTTTGCTTATAGAAGGCCATGATTTACTCAAACTTTTTACTTTAAAAGTTGTAGCTATTGATAAGTAGCCTTCCAAGAATAGTACACTAAATTATAATAGTACCAGTACATGTGAGGGCTTATGTTATCGGTATGCACTTTGTTGGGTGTGGTGGTGCATGCTTTTATTCTCTAATCTCAGCACTTGGGAGGCGGAGACAGATGGATCTTTTTAACTTAGGGCCAGCCTGGTCTACATAGCAAATTCCAGGTTAGCCAGGGCTACATAATGAGACCCTGTCTCAAATAGCAACTCCACATCTCAGACCCCACAAAAAAATCGACTTTGTTGATTTCAATTGAATTTCCAACTTTGTTTTTTAGGTAATTTGTTTTGCAATACAGGGCCTTGAACTTAGGGCCTTGTGCACACCAGGCAAGCTGTCTGCCACTGAGCTACATCCCAAGCCCTCAACTTAATCTTTAAACTCTGACAGTAACAATTCATGTAATGTTTTACCTACTTTTAAGCCTTTTGTCCCTCAATTAGATCCACTCTAAAGCTTACAAACAAATAAGTTTCTAAATTTATACAAACAGTTCAATCTTCCAACATAAAATTCTATGCTGTTTTCTGTATGAAGCTTTCTTTTGCACGTTAGCCATTCCTTGTTATTGATATAATTGTACTAAGGCCTAAGATACAAATTATTATGGAGTATTTATTACCTCCTTTATGTTTAAGAATAATCATAGGGGCTGGCAAGATGGCTCAATGGTGAGAACATTGACTGCTCTTCCAAATGACATGGCTTCCCTTCCCAGCACCCACATGGCAGCTCACAAATGTTACTCCAGGATCCAACACCCTCACACAGGCATACATGCAGGCAAGACACGAATGCTCATTAAATAAAAACAAATAAATTATATAAAAAGAAAAAAGGTTATACTTTCAAAAATGAATAATCATAAGCATTCGATCAGTTATTAGCTAAAGACTTTCCTTGGTAGATTTCACCTGCTATAATCAGGAATAAAAGTCTGAATGTTTTTTAATTATTTTATTCTAAATTTGATTAGGATATGGGGACTGTGGTCCTGGGAAAGCTGGAATCTGGATCTATCTGTAAAGGCCAGCAGCTCGTGATGATGCCCAACAAGGTGAGAGTTCAGTGTGTGTCTTCTAGAGTCGCTCTTGGAAGCAATGTCTCAAAAACAGAAACATTTCAGTCAAATTTTATACATAGTAATTATTTTGTTAATGCTCAGTGTGAAATAGAAGAACAGATTTGTTTTTGTATTCAGTGACAATTGAAGCATGTTAGAACTAGAAGGAGCAACAGGAAAGTTTGAAACTATCAATCTGTCCTATTATCAACGTGGGCAAATAACATAAGAGATTTGGAGTGGCTGAGTAACTGCTTAAAGGCTGACAGGACCGATTATCAAGAGAGCCATGGAAGAAAACTCAGGTTCAGTTCTGGTGTGTCTCTGTCTGCGTTGTTTTGATGCCACAAAATAGTATGTCCAAGACTATATTTGCAGGGAAATCTTTTGGGGTTTTGTTTGTTTTGTTGTTGTTAAACATACTCATCCCCAAGGTAAGGACCTTGACCTTGGCCAATCAGGCATTTCTTCATCACTGAGCTAAATACCCAGCTCCCCAAGGTCATTCATACTAGGTAATAGGATTTGAGAACAGTTTGAAGAACTTAAAAAAAAACTAACTTGGGTGTGGTGGTACTCGCCTTTAATCCCCATACTTGTGAGGCAGGGTGGGTCTATGTGTTCGAGGCCAGCCACAAAGGGAGTTCTAGAACAGCCAAGATACACAAAGAAACTGTCTTGAAAAAAAGAATTAAAAAAAAATTTAAGGTCTGGCAGGGTGGTTCAGTGGGTAAAAGGCTCGGCCCTTGCTTCCTAAGAACCCTTGTTAAGGAGAAAGGAGAGAAACTACAAAGTTGTCCTCTGCCCTTCTCCATATGTGCTCCATGGCGCTCACCACACATGCGCACACACCACAATGATAAACAAAAATCTTTGCTTGTGAGTTTAAAGTAGAGTCGATGATTTCTACTTGGAGGTATTATAAAAGAAAAGATAACTCTGTCAATGACATTTAGGACATTAGCAGTTCTGCTGTGCTGACCATTGCAGCACATGACTGTCTGGTTCCTTTCTCATGAGGAAATCTTTCACTCATTAAACAATGTGCTTTTCAAAAGACATTTGCTTGTTTTATTTTGTATATTAATGTTTGGCCTGCATCTCTGCAGCGTGTACACCTGGTGCCCAAGGCAGCCAGCAGAGAGCATTGGGTCTGCTGTAACTGGCGTTATATACAGACAGTTGTGAGCCATTGGTTGGTGCTAGGAATTGTTCATGGGGCCTTTGTAAGAGCAGCAAGTACCCTTAACAACTGCCCTTAACAGTCTTTCCAGTCCCAACAATATGCTTTCAAAATTCACTTGTTAAAATAACTGAGAAACATATCCTTATTTCAGGATTGGCCTGCTGTGGGAAATAAGTTTTTAAAAGTTTTTAATTGTAAAATTTACCTGAAATGAAATCGAGTATTAAGTTTGGTATTTGTCTAAGTCTCCTGTGGCTGTGATTAAATACCCTGAGAAAAGCAAATCAAGGGAGGGGCTGGGGAGCTCAAGCAGCTCAAAGCGACCTCTAATTCCAGCTCCAGGGGATCCTGTGCCCTCTTCTGGCCTCCACAGACATTGCATGCACAACATTCTACACACAGAGATAAGCATACACCTGTACATAAATAAAAGTAACTTTTTTCTTTTTAAAGCAAATCAAGGGGGTGGGAGAGATGGTACAGCAGTTGAGAGCACTTGTTGATTTTGTAGAGGATCTGTATTTAGTGTCTAAACACCCACACTGTGCTTCCCGACAAACATAATTCCAGTTCCAGGAGATCTGATGCTGTCACTTCTGACCTTTGAGGGCACCAGTCGGGCACATACAGAACATACATAAAATGTTTGTTTGTTTGTTTGTTTGTTCGAGAGAGAGAGAAGCAACTCAAGGGAATAAGGTTTTGTTTCAGCTCTTAGGCAGGAGAGTCAAGGCTACAAAAGTTTTACGCAGCTGGTCACCATGATCTACAATCAGGAAGAGGGATAAGTCACTAGTGTCAGCTCCCACTCTCCATTCTACTGTAGGCCCCCAGTTCAGGGAGTGGTCCCAGCCAGGAACAGTAAAGATAGTTCTTCCCACATGAGTTAACTATGGTGATTCTATACAAGCATAATCCCTCCCTGGTGTGCCCGGGCATTGGCCTCTCAGTGATTCCAGATCACTAACAATTACAGTGTTGTCGTTTTGAAAATGAGGTTTGTTTTGGATTCTATTTAGAAGTTATTAAAATGTGATATTAAAAAATAATGTTATGATAGTTGCAACGAATCTCTGAGATTGAGCCCCTTTTCTTGCCCTCTCAATTTTTATTTTGGCATGTGAATTTGTAGCTTCTTAACAAATGAACATTGAGGTGATTTTATGTCCATAATCCAGTTCATGTATCAGAAAGCCTCCAACTTTGTTTCTTTTTAAGCACAATGTGGAAGTTCTTGGAATACTTTCTGATGATGTAGAAACAGATTCTGTAGCTCCAGGTGAAAACCTCAAAATCAGACTGAAAGGGATTGAAGAAGAGGAGATTCTTCCAGGATTCATCCTTTGTGATCTTAATAATCTCTGTCATTCTGGACGTACATTTGATGCCCAGGTAAATAAGTTACTGCAATCATCTTCGTAGTTGATAGAACCTAAGTGGTTAGAATTTCAGTGCCTTTTGTCCTATTTGTGACATTCCACATAACCAGTATCAGAGGAACTGAAACATTCAAACTCATTTGTACATCGCAACCATATTATCTTGAAATTTCAAGATGCTATAAAGAATTTATTAGATGGTATTTTTTGTGAATTCCATTTATTCTTTGGTTTATAGATAGTTACAGTATTATTGACTTTGTAAAGGCAGACAGTGATACATCATCAATAATGTTTAGTTGGAATGTCCTTGATTGTGACTGCAGCATAGTTGTTTGCTACTCCGGGACGGTATGTTTTCAGACTTGGGCCAAACGGACATTTAATCTGACCTTCTTATGAGAGTGACAGCAAACCACTGTTACCATCACAGAACTCTTGGAGTACTATTAAACTGGGCCTGGAGCACAGTGGTTAAGAGTTCTTGCTGCTGTCATAGAGTACATGGGTTCAGTTCCAAGTACCGGCAGGTTACAATGCCTGTAACTCCAGTTCCAAGGGATCCAGAACCCTTGTCTGCCCTCTTCAAGCAGCAAGCATGTGTGCACATGGTAAACAGACAGATATCCAGGCAAACACTCATACACATAAATAAATGTTAACCCTTCTCTTGAAAAGTATGACTAAAGTTTTTTTTTGTTTTAGTTTTCATTTTTTTTTTTTAATGCCAAGTATATTTACTTGTTTACTAACTGGCCTTGGTTATTGGATAGGAAAAATGGATACACTGTGAAGTTCACATCTGGGTAATTTGTGGGAGGTAATTTGTTATATTAGTTCCATGGGTAGTATATACTGAAGGCTTCTCAGAACCCGCCTGTTGAACTGAGATAAACCAGGCACTTCCCAATTTCTGTACAGTGGAATGTTTGAGGGTGAGCCTTGGTTGGGCAACTTGGGCTATCCTGTCAACCAAAGAAAAAGGTATAACACATATTAAAAGTTAGTGATTCCTGTTGCTTCTTGGAATATCATACCTTTAGAACATTGATGACAAATTGTGGGGTTTTGTTTGTGTTTCTGACTTGACAGATAGTGATCATAGAGCACAAGTCCATCATCTGCCCAGGGTACAATGCGGTGCTGCATATTCATACCTGTATCGAGGAGGTCGAGATAACAGTGAGTTTGGGTTTTCAGGGTAGCTGGCTTGCTTAATTTTTCAGAATATTGTATCTTGATCATTTCTGATACAGGTACATACGTGCTTTTTCTGTGGTGGGGAGGATGGGTGTGTCGTGCTACATGGGTAGAAGTTAGGGACAACTTTCTGGAGTTAGTCTCTAATTTAATTTACTTCTGCTTTGAGAATTTGACTCAGGTCAAGAGACTTATCTGGCAAGTACCTCTGCCTGAAAAGCTATCTTGCTACCTTTTTTGTTTGTTTGGTTTTTGAGACAGTTTTGCTGAGTAACAGCTCTGGCTGTCCAGAAACTCATAGACCAGGCTGGCCTCAAACTCAGAGATGCCTCTGCCTCCGCCTCCCGAGTGCTACGATTAAAGACATGCACCACCACTGCCTGGCTTGTTTTTGTAATTTTAAGACAGGGTCTCAGTACTAGCTTAGGCTCGCTTATCACTCATGATCCTACCTTGGTTTCTCAAGTATTAGGATTACAGGTATTTAATACCTTGCCCAAGTTACACTTTATTCTTAGAATTACTTATATTTAACATTTAAATTTTTTTCTTATCCTTTTTTTTTTTTAATTGACTAGGCCTTAATCTGCTTAGTAGATAAAAAATCAGGAGAAAAAAGTAAGACTCGACCTCGTTTTGTGAAACAAGATCAAGTATGCATCGCGCGTTTGAGGACAGCAGGGACCATCTGTCTGGAGACCTTTAAAGACTTCCCTCAGATGGGACGCTTTACCTTACGAGATGAGGGTAAGAGGTTTTCAGTGTCTCTTGATGGTAGACTTCAGTAGATAGCATGGTCTGAGCACTGTCCATATTATAGCAGATTAAAAAAATCCAGATTTCTGTTCCATAATAGTCATATGTGATGAGTATACTGAGTTGAATATATTAAACAACAAATGGAATTACTATATAGTACCAGTAATGTTGTATGTAGACTTAATTTTAATATCTTATACTAGTGCACTCAGAAAAAATTGAATTTACTAAGACATTTTTATAATGAAGACTTGTATAATAAATAAGGGTTATATGACGATCTTTTGTTACTTTAATATGTAATTCATATCCCCTTTCTCCCTCCCTTTGGTTGATACATAATAACTGTAGTTCTCGTCTAACAGTCTCAAAATCCTTGTATAAAAACAAAATTATGTTTTGTAATTTTTTTTTTTTTTAAGATGATGTCCCTTGTAGTCTACTGGGAATCAAAGACAACACTTCTGACATTTGAGGCCGCACTCTATAGGCCGAACTGTATCCCCAGTACTGTGTGTTGTTTGAGACTGGGTCTCATAGCCTAGGTTGGCCTCCAACTCATTGCAGTCCTTGGCCTCCTGAGTGCTGGGATTACAAATGTGAATTCCCATGTCTGGCAACTAGAAAACTATATAAAACTTTGTGGTTCAACAGAAATACAGATAACTGTTTAACATGGTAGTGTCCGATATTGTTACGCCATGGTAGAGAAAACAGTATAAAAACTGTTGATTTTTTTTTTTTTTTTACCTTTTCCCCCAAAGCTTGACTGGGTCATGGTTTCACTTTAAACACCTTATCCACCAAATTTGTTGATAGTGACATTTGTTTTGTTTTGTTTTTAATATTCTTTCTGCGTGTATGCCTGAAGGCCAGAAGAGGGCACCAGACCTCATTACAGATGGTTGTGAGCCACCATGTGGTTGCTGGGAATTGAACTCAGGACCTTTGGAAGAGAAGGCAATGCTCTTAACCACTGAGCCATCTCTCCAGCCCCCGATAGTGACATTTGTTATACTTAATAGTTTAGCAGGATTTTTTTTTTTTTTTGAAGCGTCATTTCTATGGAAAGCCCAGCCAGCCTTGAACTCAAGAACCCAAGTGCTAGGACTACAGCCATTTGTGCTGTGCACCCAGCTCGAAATAATTTTAGTTGGCCTTAGAACCTGATGGAGTGTGGATAGAAGAAAGAAATTAAGGAAGATAACGTAGCTTTTAGGTTTCCGAGACCCGTGGGTTCATACTTATACTTACATTCCCTTCAGCTCACAGGCACGCTCTTGGAAGAGTCTTTTCTGTGAATTGTACGCTTAGAGACAGGTTTAGCTTTTTAGTAGCTATACAGATACATGTGAGGCATTATGTTTTGTTTCATTAGCAGATTTTAAGTTTAGCCATGTTGTTGGATGACTGTACTTCATTAATTTTTATCATTAAACGGTATTCTGTTGTATGGATGCCACTTCCCAGTCGGACTCATTTGAAATTACCTAACCAGATATCCTTCCTGGTTTGGGTGAGTAAAGCTATTAAGTCAGGAATTTGCACAATGACAAAGTTTTCTTTAGGTTAGAAAAGCTTAGTACATTCCATAAACTCAATGAAAGTACTGAAAGGTATATTTTTTGTTTTTGTTTTGTTTTTTTCAAAATTTCATTTCTAGGTAAGACCATTGCAATTGGAAAAGTTCTGAAACTGGTTCCAGAGAAAGACTAAGCATTTTCCTGATGACCCTGCACAATACTGTGAGGAATATTGACTGCAAAAGCCTATTCACACCGCCTTCTCTTATTTTCTGCCCATTGACAAACCTCTCCCCATATTTTGCAAAGAAAATTCACAGCAAAAGTCCACATTATGTCAGCTTTCTCATATTGAGAGCTCTGCTATGCCACTGTTGAATTTTCCCCAAGATTTTGCCCCCTTTCAAACTTTGCTTCCTTGGACAGATTTGGCATTAGCTTTGTAAGTGATGTGGACATAATTGCCTACAATAATGAAAACCTACAGGAATTTTTATTTTTCATTTTCCCCTTAGGCATAGTTAGTCCCCCCCCCCCCCCCAGGCAGATCATTCTGAGTGTGCGAGTGTGTGTGCACATGTTAAAAAGACAACTACCATGTTAATAAAATATTCAATTTGAAACCCTTTTCGGTATTTGAATTGCTTTGGAATACTGTTTTTTATCTCAATGTAACATATGTTGCATTAGCTTTTTAACTGCCAAGTAATTGAATACATTTTATTACTTGGATTTTTCTAAACTTTCCCTACCCACTCACTTTAAATGGGGCATTTACAAACACTGTTCAAGTTTGTATTAAAGGAAAGAATTTGTTGTTTGATTCCTTATTTTGATGGTTAATGCATACATAAACATCTTTATGCAGCGGCAGCACTACTTTACTAACTAGGTCTATTCTTTCCTGCCAATTTATATTTAATATGATTTCTTAAACACAGTAAGTTGTTTGGAAGCAAACAGCATTACTGTCATCTTTAAGAGTACAAGCTTAATGAAACTACACCCTAGAGACAATTCCATTAGCTTGTTACATTAATGGAATTTGTAGTAAAGAAAGCATGTTGAGACTGGCAAACGCCCTTTAGTTTTTCTGCAAGCTGCATGCATCTAGTATGAAACCCTATCAGTTACACATGCCAGTACCACAAGTTACTTTGCAGTAACTAAAGGGTCGAAGAGCCTTGCTTCTTCATGCCAATTCTCAATCCATTGATGAAATGAACGTAGTCATCACATACTTCCCACACTAAAATGAACGGTAACGAATAGAATTAAGCACAGGATAGGTTTTAGCTCAATTATTGTGAGTTTTCTTAAATACAAGCTGTAATTTGCTAACCTTGCCGTAGATGAACCACAGTGCAGCATTCTGTGGTGGTTTTAGTTCAGAGGGTAACTTTCTACACCAGCTGTCATGGCTGCAGTTTTTCGTGAGAATAAGTGGGACGTAGAAGAGACAGTTTCTGGGCTTGCCAGGGTCTCCATGTTTGCTTCCATTTATGAGATTTGGCCTCTTTTACATTGTGATTCCTAAGAGACTTTTAACTGTATGTTTATTGGTATGGCCCATTCCTGTAATCTTGCTCCACAGAAAAGAAAAGCCTAGCCAAGTAACTGTATTTCCAGTTAGAAAACAAAACACAAAAGTGTTTTTTAAACACTGAAATGCTAACTGCAGAGATAAATGAGTTGCTGTCTTCTGGACAGGACCAAGGTAGAGCCCTCCAGCTTTGAACTACACATATGGCTATTAAATTGCATAAAATTTAAATTTTATAATGTTTGCAAATATCTGGGCTTTTATTTTTCTGTGACATTTGGGAGCTCTAAAGAGAACAAAATGGTTTTTTTCATATTTCCATGCTAATAATAGCAAATGCTTGAGTCTTAATGAATATTTAGAAACTTTGAGTTACTGAAATTATTTCCAAAGACTTCCCTTTTGAAATTAACATTTTTAAAAACAAGTTATGTCTGCTATTAAAACACACTGTTAAGAACGTTATATGCACGTTACCAAGATTCTTAAGAGAAATGACTTGGACAGCACTTGTGAAAGGCCTGCCTCTACAGGATAGCATAAGTACAAAGGTGATCATAAAAAAATTACTGGAATTACATCACATTAACAGAATTAATCAACATTACATTTTAGGGACTTTGAAGTTTGAGAGAAGTATCTCTATTTAGACTTGAGGAATATATCAGATTGTCATTTGAATAAGATTAATGTCTGAAGTACTCTTGGGATGTGTGCAGATGTTGGATTTCTAAAGAGCAATACAGTTGTGTGCTATCATTCTGTCTTTGGCAAATGTAATGAGCTTTTTATATGTTGACAATGCAAAATAGGATAACTATAACATTCTGGATATTAAAAACCTTCCTTTTTTCAGCTATATTTAACATAGGCATGTAGCATCATCATATGGTTTGCCCCATTTTACATTAATGATCATCACATCACTTTTATGCTAGGTTATTTAAGTGAATACACAGAATTTTAAGTAATGGCATTTAAGATGACCTTAACTGTCATCTTTTTCTGTGGAAGAGGAAATACAGCATTTTTTGTTTATACATAATTTGCTATCCAACAGGGAAAACAATCTCTAGTAAATCTAAAGGACAAGAATTTTGGCTCAGTGTATACTGTCTGAAAATCAGTCACAAAGTAACTGTAAATGATTAAACACATTTTGCTCCTTGTTTTTTAATGAGAAATCTTGAAGTACATAATTACACATGAAAACTTTGTAAACTAAAGTACAAGCTATTTACTGTAACAAGGTAATTAATTCATGTCTGCTGTTTATGAAAACCACTAGATCTACTTTACAGTGTGGGACTTTGAAAATTACTTGGTTAACAATTCCTGTCATTAGTTGAAGTGCTCCAAATATTTTGGCTTATACTTGGAACCAGATGCAGTTTTATAACTTAAGAATCCAGGATGAACATGGGGGGAGGGTCAGCTATCCTCGCTCAGCTGTCTCCAGGAACACTAGTAATTACTTCATGATCGTGGATGGCTGTTACACATGACAGCACTCCAGCACCTTTGCTCACTGGCTGCTGCTCCAGGAATGATGGCTTCATTGCTTTGGGTAGAGATTTAGGAAGTCAGGGACAAAGTGTAGCTTTCAGTGTTAGAAACTTCCAACCTTTAAACCATTTGTTACAATTCCAGTTACAGTACTATAGCTCCGACTGTAGAATGAGTAGGTGTTATATTCATTGTTGGCCTACCTTATTAGAATAAGCTGCAATTAATCCTCTCGCAGATCTATATGTAAAGTAGATAGATAGCAGTTAATTGGACTTGGGAGATTAACTCCAAATACTGTATTTATTTCTTAAACTAATTTTTCAGTGATTCTAACAGATGCCATCTAATTATTCATGATCTTGTTTCTTTAGAAATCTTGCCACAGCAGTAACTTGGTAAATACATACAATTACATATGCACAATTCATGACTTTATAGGTTTAAATTTAGCAATTGATTAAATTAGATTTCATAGTATGTGGATAGAAAGTGTTATTTTCCAGTAGTAATTCAGTCAATTGCATTTGAACCAATTTATTGCTAGAATTCAGATGGGTAGGTTTGATACTTGATGGTTTTGGTTCTGGGATATTCTTAATTTTTAGAATCCTAGAACTTAACGAGTCTTCCCTTCAATAAATATACTTCTCACATACCTCTAATCCAATGCTTCCTTGAAACGGTAATATGCTAACCATGTTGTTTACTAAGGATTATTATGAAGGCATGGAGGTAATGGGGGTAGAGATTTCAAGCTTGCTTTCTGGTGTAAGGGAAAAGTAAATAGGCACTAAGCCTGATTAGGCAGAAAACACGGATTTCCACAGCAGCCCCAGAACAGTATTGTTTCTTTCTGCCTTGTCATACATGCCACTGTGCCCCTTAAATCTTGACCTGGAAACCTCAGGTTTGTGGACTGCACAGGCAGATGGCATTTTGTGCTTCTGAGGCTCCCCTCTGCTAGGCACATTAGCTTAGTGCTTCAGATGTCAGCCTGAGTCCTTGCTACCTCCTTTCCTGCCGCCTGGGGAAGAGTGTCTGCTGGAGCTGGAGCTCCATCTCTTCCACATTAGGTGAAACAGGTCTGAGCCTGCAAGTCTGCATTTAAAGGGACATGTTGGGCTCTCGGAAATGTATACAATTCTTAACTAGTTTCTTCAGCTTGTTTGAAGGGAAATGTGGATCTCTCAGGCCAGGGTTTACTGGCTAATGTTTGCTGAGCTGGTTAACACCTAGGGCCCATTTTAAAAGAAAACAAGTTTGAGAACTGGCTAGGGTTGATGGGTTTTTAGCCTAATTCCAAAGCATGAATGAGTGTTCTAGGTAGGAAAGAAACCCTTTTCTTATGATTTGTAGCTACCTACTGTGCCTGACTTGGTGCCTGTGTGAGGATTACACCCTTAGTCTGCTCTTGCAATTATTCAAATGACGTTTAAAAATTTTGTTATGTAACAATAAAAATTGTCATCTTCCTTTTGATGTGCTTGTCTGTCTGTTTATAATCACCTGTGCTGTACTCTGTGCTCCTTTCTCTAAAATATTTTTGTATCAAGTATTGGAAATATCTAACAGACTTACTGAATGGACCTAATAGGCTGTTATTTCACAATTTAAGAACATGTTTGTTTGGTGTGTGAGGCTTTTGTATGGTTAAATGACAACCTTACAGAACAAAAACAGCCCTCCAGGAAGGATTATAATAAATAACATCACATTGTGTGGTTTTATGTGAACAATAGAATTGGAAAAACATGGATGATTATTCTGTCCAAGCTATGAATCCTAAAAATTCATGATTTTTAATAAAGATCAAGAGACCAAATGGCATGTGCACTTCTTTATTGTGCAAGGGTGAGTAATTTAGCAAAACTAGTATACACAGTAGTTAACTGAATGACAGTGATATACACATCTTCAGCGAGGGAAGGCTGAGACAGGAGCTTAAAACTATGGTGATCGCCCAGTTTCTGCTTCCTAATTGGTGAGATTACAGGTGTGTTCCACCACACTCTAGTTCATTTCCTTTGATGAGAGGCAGTGAGTTCCTGCTTCAGTGTCCTTACGTGAAAGGTCTTGTGTTAAACTAGTCTTAGCTTAAATGGAATTTGCAAGCAGGAATGTGGTAGAGCAGGGGCCAGAGAGACTGCTCACCAATTAGGAACAAAACTTTTTTTTAAAGATTTATTTATTATGTATAGTTTTCCCTGCATGTGTCCTGCAGGCCAGAAGAGGGCACCAGATCTCATTACAGATGGTTGTGAGTCACCATATGGTTGCTGGGAATTGAACTCCGGACCTCTGGAAGAACAGTCAGTGCTCTTAACCTCTGAGCCATCTCTCCAGCCCACAAAGAACTCTTGACAGTAGGATTTATAAAGAAAAACAAGCACATAATCAGGTGTAGACTGATGAGTTGTTTTTTTTTTTTTTATGTGTTTATGGGAGTTTTGCCTGCACATGTATGTGTGTGCCTAGTACTTATTGAGAGCATTGAGCCTTCTGGAACTGGAGTAAGAGAATGAACATACAGGTGCTGGGAATTTAACCTGGGTCCTCTGAAAGAGCAAGGAATGCTCTTAGCTGCTGAGCCCCTCTCCAGGCCTGTGGTTTGTTTTGTTTTTAAACATTTCCAAGAATGGAAGGAAGAACCCTTTGGTTTGTTAAACATCTTACAAGCATTTCTGAGAAGAAACCCTGTCTGGTTCCAGTGAAAAGGTATAGGGTTAGGATAACCTGCCCTCTTCTGGACCATACCATTCCCCACTTTGTAG